CGGTGAAGGAAACAATGCATTGAGAATATCTATGAAAAAAGGGAAGAATTTGCAATGTATCCCAACATCGGAGAGATGCTGAGCCTGAAGAGGATCAAGTTTTTATTATCCCAGAGCACTCAAACAAGGCAGAACTTTTCAAGCTCTGTACCACATAGGACTGGAGCATGAACTATAAATATGTGTTAGCTTCACTGTGGTCAGGACTCCAAATTATTGTTGGTGTAATCTTACTTAGCTGTGGAAAACCTCCAGGGTGAAAGAAGGAAGACCAGAGTGACCAACTCTAGTTCTCTTATTTCATATTGTTTGACAAACTCTGTATAGTTCAGTAGACTGTCATACCTCTGTCTGTGGATGGAACATTCTTCCTGCTTGGGCCACAAAAACACTACGCTCATCTTATTCACATCTGGAAGAGTTTTTTCCTGCCAACCCTCATACAAAAAGTGTGGCTATGATAATACTGATGTACTTAGAATATGCTGAATTATTTTTATTTCTTTTCCCAGTTACAATAAAATGGTGTTAAGTTTGAGAACCACATCAGTAATTTAGGCTAAAACAGATTACAGGAATGTTGCAATTATCCACAAACAATTGGTGCAAGCCCATGGAATTAAGCACTAACTCTGAACTCAGTAGAAACAAGTAAGCGTACAGTTAGAGAATATAAAGATTCAACTCTGAAGAGGCTCAAATTATTTACCCACTAGAGAGAATTCACTGATTTAAATATGGTGTAAATATGCTGTGAACAGATCCAGCTCCTGAGGGAGAAATATGGGTTTGGTGTGGGGTGTTTTTTTTTTAATGTATAAGATTTCATAGATTTCATAGACATTAGGGCTGGAAGGGACCTCAGAAGATCATCAAGTCTAGCCCCCTGCTTCAGGGGCAGGAAGTCAAAGAGAACCCTACTGCTATTTACTGTACCTAAGTAACCCTGAGCCTGGACAATCCTTCCAGTGAATAGAGTACCATACTTGACTTCATAGCGTTGGAAGGCCCAGGAACTATACAACTTTTAGGGGGTAGTATTGAAACCCAACATCTTAGTTGGTCATAGGTGTCCGAAATAGCTGCCCAAATTGTAGTAGGTAATGAGCATTACGGTATGGAAAGGCATTTATAATGTTTTTTTACACCATAAAACAGATCTCCCTTAGTGTCTACATAAGTCACCTTTTGGGCTCCTCAGTTTAGCTATACTTGCTTGTTCCTTCCCAAATTGGCTTGATCTCTTCCTCTGACAGTGGCTTATTTCATATTTCAAAAGCCTTTGTTGTAAGTATTCAAGATGAACTGTTTCCTCACCTGCAGGGAGTGTTTTACCATGGTTCTGTTCACTCCCCTTCTGAAAAAGTCTTGAAGGATGCAATGGAAAATTGCTGTTTCTCCTCTCAGGCTCTTTCACACAGTCCCCAGCTATAGCCAGGGGATCCAGTGATACGTTTGAGGCTACTGTAACCTTCAGAATGCTTATGCCAAATAACACTTTGTCTCCATTAACACTGAATATGTATTTCTTGAACCCATGATTTCTCAGAGCCAAACTAAAGTAGTCTTTGATGGAGGCTATAGTATCAACTTAAATATATACAGGACAGCAGATAGCACCTGGAAAACCTAATGGGTGTTTTGGGTACCCCACCCACTGAAAAGATGTTCCCACAGTTGGGTCAAGTCACATTTCACCTGTAGGCAGTGGCAAGAATTCCATTGACCTCAGTCAGCAGAATAAGGCTGTGCATTGGCATTGTATGTGAACCATCCCTGCTCTTGGCTTCTCAAGGGATTTCATTGAGTTATCTTGACTTACAGGGTCCAAGGTTCTGACTTCACCTCTCTGTCATTTAAAACATTTTATCATCAATTTGTTTTCTGAAAACATCACATTTAATTCTGTTAGTTTGATCAGTGACCCCTTCAAAACGTGGCTGTTTTTACCCCCTTGCTTAAATAATCACTCATATGAAATACAGGAAGCAAATTTTGTATATATATATCTGTGTTTTATTATTTTCTGCACACTAAAAAAATGCTTGTACAATGTGAATGGCTACTGAAAGAGGAAAGTCATTCAGGCCAATAACAATTTCACAGTATTGACTGTTTAAGATAATTTGCACCAGACTTGACAACACATATTCCTTACTAAGTTACTTGGACAAGTGACTTGAAATAATGCCATAATACTTTCCTAATCAATTCCATTTATAAGCAGGTTAATTAAATTGTGTCATAATACACTATAAGAAAGCTTTGTTACTATATATGTAGATACACGTACATACATGTGCCCAGACTCTTGCATCCAGCTATATGTGAAAAGATCTTTTCCTTTCGTGAAGTGCATGACAGTTCCGATTAACATCAAGGAAGTTACGCTCTATAAATCCTATCTCTGAATTTGCCTTAATAATTTGCAATTCCATTAAAGGTTCTTGTGCTTTGATACCTCCTGATAACCACAAGCATAAAGTGGCAAGTTATTGTCAACAGAACAGTAGGAGAGCATGTGAAAGTGAGGGAAAGCCCACAGAAAAAATGTAGGCTTTTTGACCAGCTCTATATTTTATTGTATAAATCAAAAATAACTTTTTTGATGGTTTTTCCCACACCAACATGTCTAGGAAAACTTCCTTCTCCTTGTTGTAGTAGTGGACATTCTTTACTTTCCATTTTGTATATCCTTCCACACAAATGTTCTATTTTGTATTCACAATCCTTTAACTGTTGGGGATACAATGGCCATTAATGTGCATCTTTAAGTTGCCTGAAGGGATACTGTAGACAGGTGTCTTTTTACTTTCTCCTTTTACTTCCAGGCACCATTAAAACCCAAGCCTCTTTAATGTTTTTGTTTGGAAGACTGCTTTATGTAAGCAAAAGGTGAGAAAGATGCCAGCTCTAGGAAAACGTTACAAAATTCCCAGAATCAGTTCAGATATGCATCCATTTCTCTGAAATGTCTCCATAACTTGGGCAAACAGGCCTTTTAAAGTATATTTTTGGTAGATTTCTTGTTTCTGCTGGGGCTGGAAATACTATAAGGGCAAATTTCTCATGGTTCAATGGGGCCAGATTCTGCAGTACACTGAAATTGGTATTGGTAGTTGTGGGAACTCAGCATCTCAGGAAATGCTCACCATGCCACATGATCAGCCTTTGATGGTTCTATATTCAGTCTTTATTAGACTTTAATGGCCTGATCTTGCCAATATTTTAGGACTTCAGCAATTCCAATTCAAGTAAGGAATTTAATTCCAGCCAAGACACCACTCACTTGAACAAGAAGGTATCTATGCAAGAAAGGCACTCTGTGCTCTGAAAGGTTCCATGTGCCCATCAATATGGTAGTTAGATATGACAGTTTTATGCCAATCCATTTAGGAATGTTACTGGCTAGATCCTGTCACTCGTGCTCATATTGAGAAGTATCTTATTTTGTAAACCAGCTTATGGCAGAAAGAAATACCAATCAACTTGAGTAAAAGGTTGGTAGGGTCTGGCCTATATCTTTAACTGGTACATCTATGAGAACCCTCTTATCTTGCCTTTCCCTCCCAGACCCAAATTGTTTACAGACTCTTGAACCCGTATGTCTGATTACAGGAAACATCTACCAACTTTTTAACAGAATCCAACCTTGCAAGATTTATGGCCCCTAATCGGTTGTGCAAAGGGGAAGGAATGCATACAATTTTTTTCTGTCACTGTTTAGACTCTCTTGGGTTCCTCTCTCTCAACTTTATGGAGGGAGAGACTGACACTTATCTGTTCTCTGTCAACATCTGGCCTGTTTTTTGCTGGGCTTTAGACTGGGGCAGGGGAGGGAGAACAAAACGTTTGAGCAAATATTAGCATTTATATTTGAGAGAATGTCTACATTTTTTGAGTCTTGTAGCCCTCATCTATGTTTAGAAGTAAGCAGTTAAAATGAAGTAATGATTCCAAGTTTGGATGTAAATAGAGAATGAGAGGATGCAAGAAGGCAACTCTTGCCCATGTAATCGCAAACCAAATTTTGACATGGCTGAGAGCCATAGAACACAATACTTCTGGTGTGTACATGCATAGAGTCAATGATATGTGTGGCATGTCCCAGGTCAAGTAATAATTTGTCATTAAATGACCTCTTAGAATAAATAAAATAAAAAATAATAAATGGACGGAGAGAAAAATAGTGTTTTTATTTAGCTATTATTTCTAGAGATGCATTTAAATTGTTGGGAGCTGCATGTGAGTCATGGGCCATAGTTTGCCTACCCCTTAAATAGGCTTGCTCTTGGTAATGGTAGGGAGAGTTTCTAAGCTGACCAAATGATGCTGCTGAGTATCATTAGAAAAAAAAAACTAGGAGACTGAGGTTATGGACAGACATAACTTTTAGCTGTTTTTACAGGGGTGTTTTAACCCTGAATAAAATGTGTTAAAATTACAATAGTTCTGGTAAACTTATATTAAAATAAGAGCATGCAGATTTAACAGTTACATCCTAACACCTTACATCTGTATCGTTCAATATTGATATCATTGTTACATGCATTTATCTTATCTGAGATCAAGAGCAAAATAACAGCTTCCCATATGCTGAACTGTAACTGGTAAGAGGTCCAAGAGCTTTAGGGTTCTGAAGCTGGCTGTGCTGGCATTCAGTTGGGGACCAGTGGTTATAAACTGTTTTGCCATACCTGGGAGGACAGGACCAAAAGTGTGTTCTATCTAGGGTTTCAGCATGGTCTTTACTACATGTCATGGAAACGGCTATCCTTACAGTTTGCCTTTGTTAGAACCAGGACACAATGCTGCACAGTATAGCGCTGTCATCAGGGGTGACTGGTGCCTTCTGAGTCTGGGGGGGCACAATTTGTGGGTGGGTGCAGGGGTGGACCAAAAGCCCTATATCCACTCCTATACTTCTGTGCCACGGCTTAGTGCCCCCCCCCCCCGCCCAACATGCCACCAGCCCGAGCGATACTGAGTCAGGGGCCAATCTCGGGGGGCCATGTACCCATCCTACCAGTCGCCTGTGCCTATCATAGTAGGCAGGTCTAAAGTTCATTATAAACACACTTGGTCCTCAACTGTACTCACAATTTCTATTTTAATGTGGTCAGTTTCATACTGTAAATGAATTTGAGAAGTCAGTGCACATGCTATCCCATTTTCCTGCTGGTTTTGAGTCTTGATTATGCAGTACTACAGCATATGATAAAATTTTGGATTTCAGAAAGAAATAGAATTCCTTCCTGACATGCAACCAGTTCATCTTCAATTCTCTGGTGATTACCCTTTCTGTCTCCATCTCTCTGTCCCTGTACTTCATGTACTGACTTGTTTCCAGAAGCATTCACCCCATGAGATAAAACCAATCATTCATTCAATTGTAGGGGAGACAAAGCCAGCTAACCAGCCAGCTTCAAAGGCTCTCTGCTTTGCTTGCAATACACATGAGACAGATAGTTTGAAACATATACTGGAGAGGCTAATGAGAGACAGAGTGCCCCATGTGCTCCTGGTTTTGGTTTAGCAGTTTAACCGTCGGCAGTAGCAGACAGTCTGAAAAATTCGGCAATGGCAGAAGGCACAGAAGTCACAACATGGGTTAGAGTACGGCTTGCATGATTTTGAAGTAGCCACACAATTTGCAGGTGTGGGCCTGGGTTCAGGAGACCTTTTCGGTGCAGTCTTTTTCTGGAAGAAAAAAATGAAACACAACACCAATAAAGGTCAAGATTGAATCATTGATACAAAACTGAACCTTGGAAATATTGGCTTCAGGCTGGGAGAAAATTTCTAATATTATGGCTGGAATCAATCAAAATAAGGAGTCAACCTAATGATGCTGAACCATACAAAATGTTGGCTTAAGGTGAACTGGACAAGAATGGACAGAGCCCTGGTGAATACAGTGTGTGTGTGGAGTGGGTGGGGGCGGGGGAGTAATTGTGCATTGGCAAAAGGCTGGACCAGATGATCTAAGAGTAGTTCATAATATTTTCCCATTTCCATTGCCTATTTATCTGAAGATCTCAAATGCTTTTCAAAGATGGTGAATTGAATCTTAGGATTCTGCTGCAGAATCTTCATTTTATAAACAGGGAAACAGAAGGACTGTAAGGTGAAATAACTCATCTAAAATCACACAGGAAGTCTGTGGCATACCTGCTAATGGAACACAGATTTCTTGACTGTTAGGCCAGTGCTGTCACCACAAATCCAGTGGTCATCTCCATTAATTTGTTAATTTTTTTACCATATTTTCAGAGACCTTCCTAAAATTTATCCCTCTCTGCTGTAAAAAAACCCACCACCATGACAAAATATTTGTGCATGGAAATGAAATAACTGTACATACCAACAGGTAACCAAGAATCATTCTGTTTGGGCATTGAATCCCTATTTCGAAGCACAAATAAGTGAGTAAAAAAGAGAATAAATCCTTTGGAGAAATGTAGAAATGAAGTTCTCTATGAATGCAGAAAGTTGCTGTGAGTGCACTGCATATGTGGAGGGGTAGCTGGGATCCCATACTTCTAGGATTAGCATTGGGTGTTTGTAGACGACACACGGTTTCCTGTTTCGGCTGCCGCAATTGTGTTTGTGTTTGCACAATCTACCTCTTTAAAAGTCTTTTCAACACTTTTAGTTAACCCTGCTCAGAGAAGTTTTATTTCCTGGCACTCCGGCTTAGTACGCCCGATCGTGTTGTGCACACACTGAGCGTCTCAAAGCATCTCAAAGACATGTAATTGCTTTTCTTCACCACCAGGTGGTGCTGTGCTTTTTCTTTAGCCGGTACTGTGAATTTATTTTATGTGTTATCCTTAACCCCTCCCTCTCATTGCTCCGCTGATCAGGTGCGGGTTTGAGTGAGGCACGGCTTTCAAAATATATTATTTTAAATATACATGGGTGGGAAAATGGCTGAGCAAGAGCAAACCTGTAGCGTGCAACAAGTGGTAGTTCATTACGCCTTGGTAATTTTTTTCCCACCTGTAATGTATATTCTCCCCGTGTACCCACCACTCGTGCCCCCCGCCTGCTGTGCCCACCAGGTTCATAGCTGCCCAGCACAGCAGCATCAACAGAATGGTAAGTTTGCAAAGTTTTGAGTTTGCTACCCCTACCCTAAGACTTCCTTGAACATTTTTCTTTTCAAACCTTCCTATTTCAAACAGTCCTGTGTCCAGAACCATGGAAAATAGTCCAGGTGGTTGCTGCCTGTCACATGCGCCATTTAACATATCCACTGGCCCCCCAGTTTCATGTCGTCTTTCTTCCCCCTCTCTCTGAACAATGCAGCAAGTCCTCTGATCAATGGAGAGAAAAAAGAAGAACACAGAATGATAGTGTTTAGATTTTGTATAGATAGTTTTATAGACAGAGATATATTTTGTATAGATAGAGATAGTTTATGGGTAGAGATATAGAGGTATTTTGTATAGATAGAGATAGCTTTAATATTTAATATTTTTATATATATATAATTTCCTTACTTTAATTATTATCTATTATTTAATTTAAGAACTTTTACTTAGTTTGTCTTTTTTTTTATTTTGATAAAAAGTGCCACTTTTTCTGTTCATAAAACAGTGGCACAATGGCAAGAAGGCATGCATGGACCTTTATTGAGGGTGATTAGCAACTCTTTCATGTATTATAATGCATGTTCCCCCTGGGGGGGAGTGGGCGGGGGTGTCCCCCTGGAACGTCTTCAAACAGCATTTTTTCTGCCCATCCATCCCTTCATCCCTCCCCCTGCTTTCACACCACCTCTGACTGCAGGGAGCCAGGTAGTGAAGGTAATGGCAGAGCAACCTATTATGGGATGTTCAGTTGTTTTGTCCTACCACCACCGGTGGTAGTGTATGTGCTGTCCCCCACCACGCTCATGTTCCATCCAGCACCAGTGCCCCCCACCTGCTGCTGCTGCGCCCAGCACGATGTTCAGCGTGGAGCACAGTGGCATCTCCAGAATGATAAGTTTTCAACAGTGTGTGCCCTTAACCCTTCAATATTTCAAACCTTCCTGTTTCTTATAATTCACATTCTAGAACCATGATGACTAGTTAAGGTAGACGCTGCCTGCCAGACTGTCCCCCCAGACAGACTATGAAGCATCCCTGGTGATATATAGGTAATAAATGTCCCAATGACCTCGGGGAGGAGGAGGTTCGGCAGGCAAGTGGTGTTTTGACTTTTGCTGGTTCAAACTCCTGTTCTCCTTTTTTCTTCTCCTCCCTGCAGAACACTATGGACATCAGAGATAGAAAAGTTTCAGTATTGACACTATCAAGAAACCAACTTTTTTTGTTATGGGTTATAAAGTTCAGAAATTTGAAATTGTGTCAGTTGTTTTTTCTTTCATTCATATGTATATAGGTGGATTGTGTTTTGGGAGTGGGTGGAGTCAGTCAGCTGGCTGCTCCCGTCCTTCTCAGCCTGGGGATCCTTTGCATGTATGCAAGATAATTTCACAAAAGTCAGGAGGTCACATGAATCACTTGCTGTTAATAGTTGTTTATAAGGTAGGGTATTTATGGAGTCATGGCATTATTGGAAAGATGGGAGGTCCTCCAGTGCTTTCTTTACCTGCAACCCCAAAGCCGGGATCACCTTGTTGTAAGAAATAGTTGTCCATTGTCCCCCACCCCCTCTGCCCATCCACTCCAGAACTGGACACACAAAAAGAAAAAGCAGCAAGTGGCAATACTTGGCCAGGCATGCATGCAGGGAGCTTGAATGACAGCAACTCTTCTGTGTAATGGTTGGCTCCCCAGTCAATTCCTTTCTGCTCTTCATTTTTTCACAATAAATTGAAATGCTATCTATTTCGATTGGGAAATCACAATACAGCTGAAACAGTATAGACATTTTTGTTTGATTAATATTGATCAGTATTACTACTATCAAGTGTGAAGTAGCATAAGTGTGCGTGTGTGTGCATAGATAGGCTGGGAATTTTCTCCCACCAGAAGCAGGGTCATATTTTGGCCCCAGCCCTGGGGTAACAGGCAGGGAGGGAGAGGCCACAGCCCAGGGTGCAACACGGGGATGCTTGGGCCAAAGTCTGTTCAGAGTGTGCATGCATAGCTTGTGAGGGGTGATACACCACTCACACTTTATGGGAACATTACAAGATACTTACAAGTCACCAGTCATGCATCTTCTTGCCTCGCAGGAACACAAAATGATGATTGAGTTTTGGGATGAGGAACTGCATTGGTCACATCAGTTTCTCCCCATTCCTTCTGCTCCTCCAGATGATCTGTGCTACTCCCTGGAGTCGAGGGGGACACTGGCACTGGGATCAAGTGTAGGGTGACTTGCTCTTCTTCTTGGCAGTGCCTGTCCACCAAGAGCACAGAGCAGTCTCCATACTCCTCTGACATGGTCATGGTACAACTCTCAGGAGGAGCCGCCTCTGTCAGCATGCTCTCCTCCTCCTCAACCCGGTCCCAAAGTCAGCATATCTGGAGTGTCGCCCTCATCCTTGGAGAGAATGATGGACAGCTGGTTGTAGAAAGGAGCAATTGTGCACCCTGCTCAAGAGCCAGAGTTCACATCTTTGGCATGGTAAAATGCAGATCTCAAGGCCTTGATCTTGCACTGGATCTGGGTCATTACGATTGTGCCCTCGAGCCTGCATTGCTTTTGAAATGGTGACATAAACAGGCTTATTCCTCCTATTTTCCAGACTAGCCATGATGCTTTGCTCCAACCAAATGTCAATTAAGTCTTGCAGTTCTTCCCGGGTCCAGTTGGGTCCATGTGTGTTGGAGGTATCAGCCTCCTGCTCTGAGACCACCACACTGCTGGCCTTCACTTTCTGAGACATGGGGAAGCAGCTCATGGTCAACAGCAAGTCCATTGGGCCACTGTCCATTGGGATGGCTGTTCAATGCCCAGGAATGTTACCATGTTACCAAAATCAATTCACACCTGCCCTGACTGCTTGTGTTTTGGCCTGTCGTCTCCTAGTTAGTCCCACAATGAAGGCTTTTTTGTTATGGCTGAATAAAATAATTTTATTGCAGAAGCACAGTCTGTTTTTGCAGACCTTGGAAATGTATTCAGCTGGTGGTCCAACATTAAGAGGAGAGGACTATTGAATATGCCTTTAGCAGATTGAAAGGATGTTGGCAGGAGCTTACATGCCAGCTCGAGCTGGAGCCAGAAAATATCATGGCATTTGTAGTGGCAGCCTGTGTGCTGCACATCTTCTGTGAAGCCTGTGAAGAGATTTTCAGGGAGTCATGAGCTGAAGAAGTACAACAGGCAATGGTAAGACAGAGATGTGGCTGGGCAGCAGTGCAGGGACCAAGGAGATATCAACAAGGAGAAGCTGGTTGAGCGGCACTTGTTCCGGAGTTGCTGACAGCAACTAGCAGCGCTTTTTCTTTTCAGTATAATAAATTCTTTTAAGATTTATAACTAAACATCTGTGTCTGTCTGCAGGGTGTACGGTGTAGCAGATGGGGGGTGAAGGGGAGGGGAATGGGGGTACAGGGGAGGACGAGCAGGGCAGGGGGCGAGGTGGGATATGTGGTTGCTAATTGGAGGCTGGCAGTGGGGGGGGCGCTCATTGCACACCAGCACCTACTGTCCTGCGGGTGGAAAGGCTAAGTTTGTTGGCTGGGTGGGCCGCCTGGCGGCAGGCATGGGAGACAGGTGGGGGTGAGTGAACAGTA